ATATATATATATATATATACGAAACAGAAAACGCGTAATCGGTCATTCTTTTGTTTCATTTTCACATGACATTTGCATTTTTTTGCTTTGCAAACGTGATTAATTCGATTTCTTTCTAGAATTAATTTATAATTTATTTTTAATTCTAATTTCTGAAGACATTAGTAGACTCACAGATATGTTTTTATACTCATTTTAAACCTTAAATATTCAAGATTAATTTGCATTCAAATAATTAGTTTAAAAATTGTTGGTTGTGCAATTATAAGCTAAAAACGAAGAGGTGAATTTTTGTGTCAATTAATAAAAAAGACAAAAGTTTGTTACTATTTTACGAAGTCTACAATAAAGTTACAAATATGTATTTACACACATTTTAAAGCTAGAATATTCAAGATTAATATGCGTATAAATAATTTTGTTAGAAATGTTTAATTACTAAAAAATGCGGTAAAAACGAAGTGTTCAGTTTGTTATTAATTTACGAAGTTACTAGTAGAATTACAAATACGTATTTATACTCATTTTAAACCTTAAATATTCAAGATTAATTTGCATTCAAATAATTTGTTTAAAAATTGTTGATTGTGCAAATATAAGCTAAAAAGAAAGAGGTTAATTTTTGTATTAATTATTTAAAAAAAAGACAAAAGTTTGTTACTATTTTACAAGTCTACAATAAAGTTACAATATGTATTTACACTCATTTTAAAGCTTGAATATTCAAGATTAATATGCGTATAAATAATTTTGTTAGAAATGTTTAATTACGAAGAAATACGGTAAAAACGAAGTGTTCAGTTTGTTATTAATTTACGAAGATACTAATAAGTTATGAATATACATTTATGCCTATTTTAAACTTAAAATATTTAAGATTAATTAGTATGTAATTATTTTTGTTTAAAATTGATAATTTAGATTTTTTTTTATAAATATTAAAAAGTTAGATTTTTTCATCCATGATTAACTCAAGTTTGTTATTATTTTAGGAAGTTATTAACAAAGTTGGAAATCTGTATTTATAATCATTTTAAGGCCCAATTATTTAAGATTAATTTACTTATAACTGATATTGTTAAAAATGTTTAACTACGAAAAAATTCGATAACATTTGAGAAGTTAAATTTTCTAAATATTTCAACAGTTATTGACAAAAGTTTGTAATTAATTTACGAAGTTATTAGTAGAGTTACAAATATGTATTTATACTCATTTTAAAGATAAATATTCAAGATTAATGTGTATATTAACAATTTAGTTAAAAATGTTTAATTACGAA